CTCACAGAGAGGGACAGAAGAAAATTCTAGAGAAAAAAAAAAAAAAAAAAAGGTAAAAGCACTCATTTAGTGTAGCAGTTCTCCCTTCCTCATAGGAAGCAGTAATAATACTCAAAAAGTGCTTACAACAAAGTCCAACCAACCAAACAAAAAACCCTAAAGATTTCAATTGATTGAGGCATTCTCTGCCTTGAAAAATGCCAGAATTAAAAGCTTATGTAGAATCCTTCCATTAATATCTATGCAAATGGTGTTTTTCATTTCAAACTCATTGCCTGATGGTAACTTTATATCAGGATTTTGGGAACCTTTCTCTTTTGCACACCAATGTTTTCCACCACCACTTTACTCTTCTTGTATAATTCATCAACTACTAGTGGAGTTTATACAACATCATCTCAAAGGTTCTCCTAAACATCTCTTACTATTCATAGAATGGCTTAGCTTGGAAGGGTCCTTATAGATCACCCAGTTCCATACTCCCTGCCATAGGCAGGGCTGCCATCACCAGCTCAGGCTACCCAGGGCCCCATCCAACCTGGCCTTGAACACCTCAAGGGATGGAACATCCACAGCTTCTCTTGGCAGTCTGTTCCAGTCTCTGGGCAACATGCTGCAGTGTATATACATCTACAATCCACCTGTCCCTGGAGAAGGAGAGGACTGGAGAACTCTATTCTGTACTATGAAGACTTACCTGGCATTCAGGACTACGTGAGTGCAAAATCCTTTGTTTCAGATTCATTCATTCTATTTGACTAAATACTTAAATTAGAGCTACTATTTTTTAGAGTCTGTACCCAGTAAGCTTTCCATGACATGCAGCCACAAAAACCCTGAAGCCCATGGCTCTCCAACAGCCTAGGAAAAAAGCTGCTAGAAGCAAGGCTGAAAGGCTGTCAGGAAAATGGGGGATTTTTTTTCTGGGATTTTTTCCATCATTAAGTGCATCTTACACTACCCAGCATTGACAAGTAAACGTGCAGTAGGGGTCCAAATTTAATCTTCTGCATATGCCATGTGGATGATCTGTGAAATTTAGAAGTAGGTTTTCTCCTGCTAAACTGAACCAGGTGGGTGTTGAGATGACTATACTTTGTCTATGATTCAGTCTTGTAGCGTTAAAAAATATTCTCTGCAAACTATCCTCACTGCATATCAGGGAAGATTTTTCCTGAAAACCAGATGGGGGCTTTGTGCAGAATCTGAAAAGCAAGCTTCCCTTACAGCAGTCATTTCAGTAGCACTGCTCTCTCCCCCACTGACTTCTTTGTCCCAGTGTTCTTGAAGCCAATTTCATTATGCAACTTTTCAAAGCTCTTGGGCAATCTGCTTTCATTCTCTGGCTTTCCTTTCCTTATCAGTATTTATGCTCTTAACTCCAGTACCTCATTCTTTACACGTGGCATGTCCCTCTTTCCAATGCTTGATTACTTTTTGTGCTCACTTATTCAGAGTGACCTTTTTCACTCCTAGTGTATTTATCGCTAGATGGCTCTCATAACCCTTGGGCATACTGTCATTTATCTCTCTACCCCTTCTATTCCCTACCCTTCCAACATGGCTTTGCTTAGTATCCCTTTTGTTCCTCCAAACATTGTGCTGCTGAAAGCAAAGAATTTTAAATATTGAAAAAAACATAATCATTAATTGTTTGTTACCTCACTGCTTCTGCACTTTTATATTTCCAGCTGTTGCATTTGCATAGGGAAAGAACAGCTATATACTTTCAACATTAGTGACTTAAATTTTATATTAAGGAGAACAGCAGAAAAGCAGAACTGAGAGTATGGCACTGCAAAGGATAGTCTCTTTGTGATGTGACTGCATGGGCAGATGCCAGCCAGCAGAGGAGACAGCACAAAAATGGCAAATAGCATCACACTTTCAATAATTCACCTGATGTACCTTAACCAGGAGAAAACTAAGGCTAGAGCTCATTCATTTTCTAGAGAGGTATTGGAACAGGCTGCCAAGCGAGGTGGTGGAGTCACCTTCCTTGGAGGTGTTCAAGGAAAAAGTAGGTATGTCACTGAGAGACATGGTTAGTGAGCATGGCGGTGATGGGTTTATGGCTGGACTAGATCTTAGAGGTCTTTTCAACCTTAGTAAAACTACGACTTAAAGAGAAATTCTGAACATAACATCTAGGTCCTAATAACCTTTAACATTTTTGAACCAAAGCTTCATAAAGCAGTGCAAACTTAATTTCATTACTTACTTCCAATCCTCATGCATTATGAAGAGAATTAACCACACATTATATTGGAAATCATATTGTTCAGTTCCTTAATATATACTTTTCTATTTATATCTAGCAAAAGCTACTGCTCAAATGCTAATTTCAAGGTGACCTCATGAAAAATGGATTAATGTTATGTGAAGGACACGCGTATTTTGTACCCAGTACCAGCAGAGGCCCAGGACCTAACCTGGCAATTTCAGTGCCCCCGGTATTTTTCTGGCCACAGCAGACAAAATTTTTTAACTCCAATTTCAAATGCTTCAGGATGGAATCCAAGAGCAGGGTTTCTCCTTACTTGTATGATTAGTCTGCAAAATTTGGCCTTTCATTCTCTACCAGAAGCTAACATGAAATCTCATTTTCTTCCCACATTAAGGTATCACATAACCTGAAAAGTTACCAAGAATTTTCCTACTCAGTCAAGATGCAAAATGCAAAATGGAAACTATGGCAGGGAGTAAGCAGTCAACTACTCTTATTGACTGAGCTGAGGTGCAGTAACACATCCACTGAAAATACATTTTCAGCACAGATAAACAGCATTACAAAATATCCATCATACTGAATAGAATGCTACATATTTATTCAAGGATGTTTAATCCCTGAAAAAAACCCTTAAAAATTAAAACACACAGTAACACAGATATAGTTGCTCAGTAGCTGATATCTACTGCCAGAATTTTAGTCTCTCAGAGTAAAATTGCAAGGATTGTCATGTAAACTTTCTCTACTAGAGAGCACAGTTGCTACCAAGCAACCAAAGCAATCTACAAGTCCTGCCACTCTTTGAATCTCCTTTTCCACTTGGAGGTCACATTACTTCCTACCAGCCCTGGGAGCAGCTGTGGCATGGCCTTTCCTTCCCCTACGCAGTATTTGGAGCCTTTCTATGACTAGACTAATAGGTTAAGCATCCTGGATTCTTCTCTTTCTGCTTTTGTTGGGCTGATGCTAGCAGATCTGCAGAAATAGCAGCATGCACCTCTCAGAGCCAGTGTCTTAGGCTGCCTGCAGGCTCAGGCATGCACTGGCTCGCAATTAAATTCATAAAGTCAAGTTTTCCTTGCAATTTTAGCTAATAGAAATTTGCTTATTATTATGAATATAAGTTTAAATAATGTCATATTTTGAGCTAGAACTATAAGCAGGTTCACTTAGTACCTGTGGTTTAACCAGTAGAGACAGTTTGGAATTCAATTCCATAGCACATCAAGCAGCAAGTTGCATGACTGCTAGTCCCATTTTCCTGCTTTTATCATAACTCAACAGTTTTGCTGTAGCTGGACAGCAGTAGAGAGGAATTCATATGATACATCCCCCCAAAACAAAATGAACAATAACACTTTAGTGGCTTTTTCATTGGACTGCAAATCCTTATGTGGTATTTCACTGGTTCAATAATACTTTTTTTTTTTTTTTTTTTTTTTTTTTCTTTTTTCATTCTTATTGAATGAACATCTTACCCCTTTCATGCATTTGGGTTGATCAAAAGCATTAGTATCTTCTACTACAGTACAAATTTCAATGACTAAAAAAAATAAATTGCAAGCAAAGTACCAGAGTAAAATAATGAAATATTAATATCCTGTTTGGAAACTGTGTGATTTAGTCAGCACTGCTTTCACACTCTGAGTTACACGCAAAGGATCTGGCAACCCCAAATGAACTCATGTCATTCTCTATGTCCTGTCTTTTTTTTCTAGAGACAGAAATTATACCCTATAAATATCCATTACTTTTGGCCATGGTCTGATGAAGTAAAATCCAAAGAGAATATCAGGCTTTTCTTCCTCTCTTTGGTTAGTTTTGCTCTGTGCTTTTTGCATGTGAATGATGCTGTTTTGGCTGCACTGGAAGCAACCAGCTGTCCCTGGGCTCGAGAGTAGGTTGTTACCTTATAGCACTGTTGGTGATGAAGCCTTTTGATTTTGGTACCTAAATGAAGATGCAGGAATCCTGTTGGAGTTAACTCCAGAGCCATCAGTTCTTGCAGGTCTCCCATCTGCCCAGCTCCTCATGTTCAAGTATATCCTCATGGCAAAGCCTGACAATGAACAGGTAGAAGCTCAAGGAAACATAATTTGCATGTTAAAAATCTATAATGGTGAGAGATGCAAGTTGACAGATAATCCACCTTTCAAACCAAAACACCAACCAATATATCAGGTCTCCTTGTCTCTAGAGAAATAAAAAATGGATCATGAGGACTGACATTTGCAGGTTCATGAGTACAAGGACAGGGGAAAAAAAAAAAAAAAAAAGCAGTAGCAACTACTCTAACTTCAGGAGGATTTTCATATGTACTTTAAATATAATTTAAATGTAAAATAATCTTAGGAACTCCCAGACTAATTTCTGCAGGTTGAATTATTTAGAAAACACAGTTTTCTCCCATAGATTCTTCCCTTAGGTAATTAATAAATATTTATAATCCAGACTCCCTGTTAATGAAGATTTTGCCTGGGAATAGCAATTAAGAGTCTTTGTCAAAATCCCAAATTGAAAATAACTGTCATTCAAGTGTTATTGTTTTTGAGTATGTGTAAAATGTTGCCTTCCCAGATCCAAGGAAAAAAATCTTTGTTGGCAAGTTGTTTGAAACAATGCCTAACTGAATGTGAAGGGGCTCATCTTCACAGCATACCAATGAGGTGGAAGTGGCAATCAGGTGTGACTTGTTTAACAAATTAACAATATGTTTCTCTAATAGGAAATTTGTTGCTCTTCATTCTGCATTGAAGATTTGCAGCTACTTTAAAAAATCTACAGAGACTTTCAACATAATTAAGGTTAAATTTACTTTGAAATTCATAATGGCCATATAAAAGCAAACTGGTAATATTGTACATCTGGAAAATCACACTTTCATGAAATTCCTTGAGCCTTTTGTTAAGGGTAAGTCATTTATATCTAAAAAAAATAAATGAGAATTCATTAGACTATCAGTAACAGCTGTATCTAATTCTGAGGTTTTTGTGTTTAAAAAAAAAAAAAATAATCAGATGTCTTAATCTTGCTCTTGATTTGTAAGTACTTCTGAAAATGAGAGAAGTAAATGTGAGGTTGTACAGATAACCATAATTCATTCTATGCTAAGCTGCCAATCTTATCCTGTTTGCTAATTCTGCAAATCACTGCAGTATTTATCAGGTTCCTGTGAACGGACGTTTCTGAGCGAGTTTTGTCTAATTGTAGACTTCTGTGCTTACTCCTTCCCCATCCAAGCAGCTGAGATGTGGGGGCTTATGTGTCAATATGTTACTTTTTTTCCCCATAGCCTGCATCATTCCAAGCTGCAGAAACATCTGATGAAGGACCATAGTCCAGAAGAGCTTCTCAGTGAGTTGTGCTAATTTTACAAGCCTTGAAGTTATTGATATTGATGGCTTTTGGGTTTGGTTGATTTGTTTGTTTATTTTAAGATTTCTAAACATCTTTGTGCTGTGTGAATATGAAAAACACGTACATTATTCAATTCTTCCCTCTGTAGCAGGTTAAGTGTTGTTTAGCATACATTCAAACGTGCTGAAAGAGTATGTGACAAGTATTCATAAAACACATCCATAACAGACCATCTTTCTAAACCATGTTAGATTTCATATTTTTTCTTAGAAAAAATGCTTATTCAAATAAATGTAGAACTCAAGAAAGGCACCTCTATTTTTGCCAGTGCTTTAAGTTTTGTAGGTAAGCAATTAAGCTTATAAAAATTGTTTGCAAAATCTATATTATGGAGAAAAGAAATATTAAAACACACTGAAAGCCAGTCTGCTTTGGAACATATTGATGTGATCCACCTCCTGAGAAGTAGAGTATTTTTGATAAAGTAATCCTAATGTAATCTCTACAGAATAGGAAGTCTTCTAGATGCTTTTTATCAGTGATCTTTTCGATTTTGCTAATGATTACATGTTAAATCACAGAGTAGTAAAGGAATCAAACTTCTTCTCTGAGTTGTCTGTTTTTTGTGTTGGTTTTTTTTTCCCCTGCTTGATTTATACTTCTCAATCTCCTACAGAAAAGCCAGTTACAGCTTCCCTTTAGATACTGTTCTTACCCTAAATGTACTCACTTTTTGTAGTCAGTTTTTCATGATTTGCCTTCTAAATATTCCTTTCCTCCACTGAATATCATTTCTCTGTTCATTTTATCCCTTTGCATAGCTTCAAATTCTCACCTTCCTCAACATGTGGATTCTTCCCATCTTACCCACGTAGAATCTCTCCGTGTTTTTTAAACTCTGACATGGAGCTTGTTGGTTCCAAGGACCAGGTTCATCACTGGCATCCTGGAATAGCTGAGGCTTTAATGGCAAGTTTACAAATGGGGGTCTTGTTTCAACATGGCAAAAATGAGTTGAAATAATCCCAGCACCAGTGACCAGAAAGGATCGCAATATTATCAGCACAGCCCTCTACTTTCCCCTTTTAGTAAGATTTTATATATTTACATCAAAGATTCCTGTATGTCCTGGTGTACTTAATAATAACCTTGGTTTATGTGGATACATTTTTTCAGAGGAGAATGACAGATCATATAATTACGTCATTGACCCAGCATCAAATATTTTCAGAAAAAAAAAATAAAAAAAAAATTGTAGGATGTGGGGCCAATTTTTAGCTTTTCAGCAAAAACAGAGAAAATATTTATCAGGCATTTCATTAAGAGTCACAAGATTTTTCTGTTAAATACCACCAAGGTTGAAGGGTACTTACTGCTTAAGATAGCATATGAATATATCATAAAAACCATGCAACATAACACACATTTTACTTTCTCTTAGGTCAGCTTTCTTCAATTTGAAATGTTATATTTTTTTCAGTTGTTTTTTAAAGCCAAATTCCACGATGGTGAAAGCAACATGGACTGAAACTGAAACATTTATGCCTCATCATTAAGCCAAAGACAATGTGCCACATTCTGTTTCTGATTCCAGCAATGACTGCTGAAAGCTTATAGGGGTAAAACACTGCAGAATACCTAGCAGTGTAAGTAAAAAGAATAATATTTAGGCACGGTCCTATTCTTTTTGAATATTAATTCATCCGAACCAACATACAGAGAACAAATCTGAAACCACGTGAAATGCTTTATAAAGAAAAAAGAAGATGCCCCATGGGTTGGGGAAGGGGGGGGGGGGAGGGGGGGAAGGAGCCTTTTGTTATCAAGTACAAAAAATATCCTGAGCAAAATCAGGCAGCGCAGGTTCTTTTAGTATGGAAAAGACAAAGGTTTATTCTAGCAAAACAAGCATCCATCAGAATTAGGTTTTGAAATCATATAATAACTTATTAAATCCCGCTGCCTCAGCAGGTGTAGGAAATCTTCTAATTGCGTTTTTCTACTGATATTATTAAAATATAGCCAACTTCAGCTTTCAGGTGTATCCAAGTAACTCTGATGACATCTCTGAGATGCCCAGAAATAAAACCAAGATTTTAGTTTGATCACTGATTGTTTGACCACATTGCTACTTCCCTGTCTTGAAAACTCACAGAGGAGGTTGGGCAAGTCCATACAGTGCGTATGTATGTCTAGATACATAAATAGGTAGAGAAATGTGTTGCTTATAAGTCCTAGGAAGGATGAGTGCATCACATACACATAGATAAGAGGTTCTGGAGCTCTTGGAATGAAGAGGTCCAATCCCAGGAGGTGCTCACTGTGTCCTGCTTACCAACTGCAATAATCTGCCATCGGTCCCTGAGATAAGACTGATCAGCCAACAGGACTGAGCACTGCTCTGTCCACCAAAAGTCTGATGCAAGATGGTGATAGTCAGGCAATTACACAGCTTAGAACCAGTTACTGCACGTTCACTACAACTCAGCAGCACTACAAGAGCTCAGATGCCAGAGTAGACATCTCTCCATATGTCCATAATCTACTTAACTTATAAATTAAAGAAAACTCAGTGATACATTTTAAATTCTTTAGAATCATAGTTTTCTGCATAGGTGTAGGTTTCCATATGTCATGCTTTGGTCCCCAGGGCTTGATGTGTCATTCAGCCACGCTGCTGCAGACTGATGTTGTCTTGACAGATACATAAGCAGTAAGTCAAAGTTTTGCAAAATGTTGGCAGGTTGATATCTCCTCCACAACCTGTAAATATACTTTAACTCTTGTCTTCTTAACATTATTATTATATACCTACACTAAACGTTTTGTTTAAACACACATGATGGCCTATGATTTTTAAGGGCAATGCAATGTAATCGATAGGGTGTAAATGACTCCCACTGACAGGATGATGTATCTATGGCTTTTTTGCATACATACAAATATATTTGTGTGTCTGTTTGTATCTACATAAGTTTGCACATGTACATAATTTAGTCACAACAAAAATAAAGATTTTCATTTATATTTATATATATATATATATATATACACTAATAAAAACCTTCACGCTCTCCAGTCTCCCTTCACTATCTTTTTCTATGCATTTGTATGGATAGAAGAATAAGCATATCTACTGTATTTATGCTGGAGATTTTACTGTGCAAACTAAAAAGCTAAACTAATAAAATTGTTTTTCAAAGCATGCCTGAGGTCATCCCTATGTGACAGTACAATGCCATATTAATAATCAGGTCAAATGGATCAGTTCTACAGGATTGTCTAAGACTGCTGATTGCATATATTAATCAATCTTTTCACATTTTAGATAGAAAATAATGGAAAAAATGGTCTTCCCCATAAATGCTGCACTTGTGAAATCCAACAGGCAGTTATAGGAAAAGGTGAACAGGATCTAGTGACGGAGGGCTCATAAATCCCTAGGTATATTAATAAAATGTATTACATTACAAAATTTCAACTACCTAACATCACAAAAGGGAGAAGTTTGGTTGAGGTATTTGTTCACTGATAACTGTAATTGTCTTTATTATGGCTTCAATATTGCCTACTATTCAAACTCTTCTCAGCCCACAGCACTTACATAGTTCAGATTTTAAAAATAAGTTAAAACAAAACAACAAACAAACAAGAAAACATAACAGTTTGCCATGGTAAAAAGTAGAGGATCCTTAAAAACCAAACTGACCGTTTCTGTCTTCACCACAGCACAGCGTCAAGTGACAAATGCAGGGCATGCTGGTAAAAGACAAGATGTTAGTAATGAGCCAAATGAATCCCTGGTGTGACTTCACTCACTTCATTAGAGTTATCCCCAGGATAAATTTGTCCCAGTGCACTGTGGAGTCTCCAAGTTTTGAACAGGAGAGGATATCAGCATGCAAGAAAACAACACTTCTTCCCTGAGTATTTAAACTGGATTGTAAATCCATCGAATCTGATTCCAAATGATCTTTGCTGCACATTTTTGATGCAGTCTCTCAAATCACTTATACAGTTCCAGAAAGTGTTGCATGGTCCAGGCAGCAACATGGTGCATTAAAAAGCAATGAGCTATGCAGTCCTGTCAAAACAAGCTCATTAGTAAGTTGGCTGCTGGGTCTTTGCAACCACTAGCTCAACTTAGGCAATATAAACAGGGGCACCTACAGGGAGGTCCCACAAGCTGTCTGCATTTTACAAGATTTAAGGACTTATTTTTAAACATATAAACAGGATACAGCATCAGTTTTCAGTAGCACAAGTACAAAATAATTTTCCAAAACTCTCACAAAAGCTTTATTGCAGTGATTAGGTAGAAAGTTTCTTCTCACGTGATAAAAAAAATAGTATCCCATAATATAAACAAAAAAATGATGCTTCCTGACATATAGTTAGGCTCATAAAACCTGACTAGTTTTTCTTGGCCTTACACAAAGCAAGGCACTTTGATACTCTGACAATTGCAAGGGAATTAGCAGTCCACATGAGTTCATAATCTATATGTAAAAAATAATAATGCCAAAGTCCCTGCTTATAAATACCATAGAGATCATTTCTCCAGTGACTCAACCAAGTTCGTCCATGAAAATTAAAGGGTACTGTGCCTCTTCTTACTTTGCAGGACTCCAGGGACACAAGCATTTTGCATGTCCCACAAGGCAATGGAGATAACAAAGAGAACTGCTAGGAATCCTTGCAACATCTGAGTCAAAAGAAGCACTCCCAGTACTGGAGGAATTGATTTCTCTTTGTAAAGACGTATGTGAGCATTTTAAAAATCTGGTTATTGTTGATAAAAAAATGTTAAATTCTTAGATGCATCTTAGTTTCATCTGAGGTAGAATTGTTTTCTTCAGAGTGTCTGATATGATGGTTTTATCTGTCTTGCTCAGCTACAGGTATATGTATATGAATGTATATGAGATGTGATGCACAAGCAATTGCTCACCACTCCCCAGTCAATGCCCAGCTAGCCCCCTGAGCAGCAGAAGAGTGAGCAAGATAACTCCTACCTCCTCCAAAACCCCTTCTGTATGATGTCATATTGTTTGAAATATCTATTTGGTCAGTTTAAATCAGCTGTCCTAATTCTACTCCCTCCCCCTCCTTGGACACATTGCTGAGAATGGCCTTGGCTTTGTACAACTCTGCTTCGAGTAGCAACTATAAACATCAGTGTGTTATCAACAATATTGTTCTCCTAGAACCAAAAACATAGCATCATACCAGACACTCTAGAAAAAAGAATCCCATCCCAGCTGAAACTGAGACAAGTTGTCACCAGCCTTGGGATTTCACAGGGGCTGTCGTTATCCCACTTGGAGGCAGCATCCCCCACCTGATACCATCTCCTTGCCATCAGTGTCTAAGGACAGGTTGTTACAGCTGTTTCTACATCACCAACAAACAGCAGGAACCTGGTGGCTTTTGAAATCACCTTCTTGCCCAGGAGGAAGGTGAGCATTTTCTTGCTGGCAGCCGCTGCTTCCCCAAGCACATCCTTTGCCATCTGAAAGTCGCAGTGCTCCACCTGTAACCCACCCAGAGAACTGGTTTCTTTCACTGCATCATCTTCTGCTGTTACATTTCTAGCCATGAGGATGTGATACCTCTACTCTGTGAGCAGAAATGGCTTTTCCAAATTCATTGCCTTTGATCTTCGAAGCTTGGAATTTATCTGCCTGCTTTGGAAATCACCTCTCTCAATGAAAGAAACACTATCTTCCATAAATGGACATCAAACACATCTGCCTACAATAAGAAAACATTTGTGCCTGTGACTAATAGGTTCTAGTTTGAGGTCTTTCTCCTAGGCCCTTTTCCATACAACATTTCTGCAGAAGCAGTATGCACTGGGGATAGGACATCCTGAAAGGTCAGGCTCTGGCCTTACATCAAAATACACCACTGTAGATTCATGTCAGCTTCCTAGGACAGTTAGATGTATTAAAAGGAACTGGACCCTTTCAGCTACACTGAAGTACTCAGATTCAAAACTAGAAATATTCCTTTTGAAAATGGAAATTAAAAGAAGTCTTTTGAGAAGGACAGCTACCATAAATACTACTTCCTAACAGCAGCCCTGGCTGTAACACTGTGGTGCCAACAATTTTTACAGAAAGTCCAAACTCCTTATAGTGTAAGTGCACATATATTCTTTCAGTGGCCGGTAGCATAAAACTTGTCTTTATTTCTATTAGGTAAACTTTCCCATTCAGGTGACAGGCAATTTACTGCAGCACTTCAATGGATTGTAATGGCTGTAGTAACTGCACAGTTAAGTGTTGTTTCTAAAAAGTAGAACTGGCAAAATATTTGATGGAGCATTTGGCTTTCTGTATGATGAGATGAGAGCACCCCGTTGTATGCCAAATCAATCTGATTTTGTACAATATATCCATTCAAGCAGCAATTCTGGAGGCTGGAGAGCCAGAGGAGCTCAGACTAGATTTTCTAGGCTGTAGAGAAAATACTACTTCCAGATGTAATTTCCAAGTGCTAAGAAGTGCCATTTACTCTGGGAGACACGGATTTGCAGCGTGATTTGCACAAATGCTATGGAAGTTCTTCAGACTTTGCTGAAAGGCTGCAAGAATTTTCTTCACCTTTGCTGCTGCTACCATGGGTTTAGCCCTGCAATATGAATATTTAACACTCCTAATTCCTTAGGATAAGTATATATACTGTGATCATATTTTACAAAAGGGATTCAAAATGTGAGAAACAACAAGCAGTTCCATATCTCACATGCAAAACTCATGCAGGTCTCT